GTCTTGGAAGGTTATATGTTTCTAGGAATTTATCCATTTCTTCTAGCTTGTCCAATTTGTTGGTGTGTAGTTGTTCATAGTAGTCTTTTATGATTCTTTGTACTTCTTTGGTATTAGTTGTATTGTCTCTTGTTTCATTTTTTATTTTATTGATTTGAGCCCTCTCTCTTTCTTTTGTGGTAAGTCTGGCTAAAGTTTTTTCAGTTTTGTTTATCTTTTCAAAGAACCAGCTCTTGTTTTCAGTGATCTTTTTCTATTTTTTCTATGTCTCTATTTTGTTTATTTCTGCTCTGATCTTTATTCTTTCTTTCCTTCTACGAACTTTGGGTTTTGTTTGCTGTTCTTTTTCTAAGTTCCTTTAGGCGTAGGGTTAGGTTGTTTATTTGCAATTTTTCTTGTGTTCTGAGGTAAGCATGTATCACTGTAACCTTCCCTCTTAGAACTGCTTTTGCTGCCTCCAATAGATTTTTGGATCATTCTGTTTTTGTTTTCATTTGTTTCCAAGTATTTTTTGATTCTTCTTTGTCTTTGGTGACCAATTGGTTGTTTAGTAAAATATTATTTAGCCTCCACATCTTTGTGTTTTTTGCAGTTCTTTTCTTGTGGTTGATTTCTAGTCTCATAGGGCTGTGGTTGGAAAAGGTGCTTGATATGATTTCAATTTTCTTAAATTTATTGAATCTTGTTTTGTGGCATATCGTGTGATCTGTGCTAGAAAATATTCCATTTACACTTGAATCAAATGTGTATTCTGCTGCTTTGGATGGAATGTTCTAAATATCTATTAAGTCCATTTGGTCTAATGTGTCACTAGAGGCCAGTGTTTCCTTATTGATTTTCTGTCTTGATAATCTGTCCATTGATATACGTGGGGTATTAAATTCCCCTGCTCTTACTGTGTTACTGTCAATTTCTCCCTTTGTGTCTGTTAATATTTGCTTTATGTATATAGCACTTCTATGTTGGGTGCATAGCTATTTACAATTGTTATATAAGATTGATCCCTTGGTCATTATGTAATGTCCTTCTTTGTCTCTTGTAGCAGTCGTTGTTTTAAAGTCTCTTTTGTCTGATATAAATAGTGCTATCCCAACTTCTTTTGATTTCCATTTGCATGGAATACCTTTTTTCATCCCCTCACTTTCAGTCTGTGTGTATCTTTAGATCCAAAATGAGTCTCTTATAGGTAGCATATGTATGGGTCTTGTTTTTATATCCATTCAGCCACTCTGTACCTTTTGATTGGAGCATTTAGTCTATTTACATTTAATTATTGATAGGTATATACTCCCATTTTGTTAATTGTTTGGGGGTTGTTTTTTGTAGTTCTTTTTTTTGTTCCTGTCTTCTTCTCTCCCCTTTTGATTTGATGACTATCTTTAGTTATGTTTGGATTCCCTTCTCTTTTTTGGTGTTTATCTATTGTAGATTTTTGGTTTGTGGTTACCATGAGGCTTATATATAGCAATCTATATATAATATAATGTAATGTAGTGTAATATAATATATATGATTATTTTAAGTCTCTGATCTCTTAATTTCAAACACATTTTAACAACTCTACATTTTTACTCCCCCACCCTCGCCATGATTATTATTATTTTTTTTAAACTCTTTATTAAATTTGCCACAATATTGCTTCTGTTTTATGTTTCGGCTTTCTGGCTGCAAGTCATGTGGGATCTCAGCTCCCTGACCAGGGATCGAATCCACACCTCCCACATTGGAAGGTGAAGTCCCAACCACTGGACCACCAGGGAAGTCCTGATTATTGTTTTTGATATATTTTACATCTTTTTGTTTTGTGTATCCCTTAACTAATTATTGTGGATATAGATGATTTTTGTCTTTTAACCTTCCTGCTAGCTTTGTACATGGTTGATTTACTACCTAATATTTGCCTTTACCAATGAGCTTTTTCCTTTCATAATTTTCATGTTTCTATTTGTAGCCTTTTCTTTTTCACTTAGAGAAATACCTTTACCATTTCTTGTAAAGCTGGTTTGGTGGTGCCCAACTCTTAGATTTTGCTTGTCTGTAAAACTTTTGATTTCTCCATCAAATCTGAATGGAAGTCTTGCTGAGTAGAGTATTCTTGTTTGTAGATTTTCTCTTCATCACTTTAAATTTATTCTGCCACTCCCATCTGGCCTGCAGAGCTGCTAAAAAGTCCACTGATGGCGTTATGGGAGTTCCCTTGTATGTAACTTGTTGCTTTTCCCTTTTCAATATTCTTTCTTTAACTTTTGCCATTTTAATTCAGTGTATCTTGGTGTGGACCTCTTTGGGTTGATCTTGTTTGTGTTCCAGGACCTGCATGTCTGTTTCTTTTCCCAGGTTAGGGAAGTTTTCGGCCTATTGTGTCCTCAAATATGTTCTCTGCCCCTTTCTCTCTCTCTTCTCCTTCTGAGACCCTATAATGTGAATATTAGTGCACTTGATTTTGTACCAGAGGTCTCTCAAACTGTTCTCTTTTCTTTTTATTCTTTTTTCTGTTCAGCTTCAGTGATTTCCACTACTCTGTCTTCCATCTCCCTGATCCATTCCTCTGTATCATTTCATCTACTGTTGATTTCTTTCAGTGTAGTTTTCATTTTAATTGTTGTAGTTTTCATCTCTGTTTAGTTCTTTATATCTTCTAACTCTTTGTTAAACTTCTCACTGTGTTCCTCCATTCTTCTCCTGCATTCTTTGATCATCTTTATGATCATCACCCTGAACTCTTTCTTAGGTAGATTGCCTATCTCCACTTCACTTAGTTCTTCATCTGGGGTTTTATCTTCTTCCTTTGTTTGGAACATGTTCCTCTGTTGCCTCATTTTGCCTAACCTGCTCTTTTTTTATTTCTATGTATCTGGTAGGTTGGTAACGTTTCCTGATCTTGGAGAAGTGGCCTTTTGTAAGAGGTACACTGTGCGTCCCAGCAGCTCACTCCCCTCTGGTCATCAGAGCTATACGCTCTAGGGGTGCCCCCTATGTGGGGTGCATGGGTCCTTCTGTGTGGTGGGCTTACTGATGTCGTTGGTCTAGTAGGCATGGCTGGCCTTTGGCCCAATTGGTTTCCAGGCCCTGCCTTGTGTGGACCCTGCCAGCCACTGGTTGGTGGGGCTGGGTCATGAGGCTGCTGGTTGCAGAACCCTGGAGGGTCCCAGGGCTACTGCTGGTTCACTTGTGGGCAGAGCCAGGTTCTGGGGTGGGTGGTTACAGGACTGGGGTTCCTGGATCTAGTGTTGGCCTGATGGTGGGTGGGGCCAGTTCCTGATATGGCTCGCTGCAGGTTCTGGGGTATTCCAAAGCTGGTGCTGGCCCATTGGTGAGTGGGGATGGATCCCAGGGCAGCTGGCTGAGGCATCCAAGGTTTCTCAGAGCTGGTGTTGGTCTGCTGGGGGTGGGGCCCAGGCCCGGGAGTCCTGGGGCTGGTGCCAATCTGCTGTGTTGGCTGTGTCCAACAAGGTAGGCTGTAGGGCTGCAGTGGTCCTGGGGCTGGTGTCTTCCCATTGGTGGGTGGAGTTGGTGTCCAGGGGATCCTGGAGCCAGTAGGTGAATCTGGGTCCTGGGGCTAGTGCTGGCCCACTGGTGGGCAGAGCTGACTCCTAGGGTCTCTGGCTGCAGGGCCCAGTGTCCCAGAGCTGATTTTGAATTGTTGTTGGGTGAAGCCAAGGCCCAGGATGTTCTGGGGCTAGTGCTGGCTGGCTGGTGGCTGGGGCTGGGTCCCAGGATTTCTAGCTGCCAGGCCCTGGGGGTCCTGAGGCTAGTGCTTGCACACTGTTGTATGGCACTGGGTCCTGGGCCCTCTGGTGGACAGGACCATGTCCTGAGGTGCCTCGGGCTCAGGAAGTCTTAAGGCAGCCTGTCTGCTGGTGGTTGTCCAGCTAATTGCTTGGCCTGTGGCGTTCCAGTACTGGTGTGAACAGGCTGGTGGGTGAGGCTGGGTCCTGGTGCCAGTCAGCTGGAGGGAGAATTCCAAAATGGCGCTTGCCAGTGTCTGTGTCTCCAGGGTGAGCTCCAGTTGCTTGCTGCCTCTTTGGCAGACTCTCCAAGATCAGCAAATGAGTCTGACAGGCTCCTTTCAACTGACTGCTTCTGCCCTGGTTCCTGGAGTGTGTGAGATTTCGTGTGAGCCCTTTAAGAGGAGAGTCTCTATTTCCCCCAGCCCTCTGGGACTCCTGAATTTAATCCCTGCAGGCCTTCAAAGCCAAACATTCTTGTGGCTGGGGGCTTGTCTTCCTGGTGCAGGATCCCCGGGCTGGGGAGCCCAATATGGGGCTCAGACCCCTCGTTCCTTGAGGAGTACCTCTGCAGTTGTAATTATTCTTGCATTTGTGGGTCACCCACTCCTGGGGTGTGGGTCTTGACTATGTGCAACTCTGCCTCTCCTACCCATCTTGTTGTGGTTCCTTCTTTATACCTTTAGTGGTAGATGATCTTTTCTGCTAGATATTGGTCTTTCTTATAAATAGTTGCTCTGTAAATAGTTGTGATTTTGGTGTGCTCATGAGAGGAGGTGAGCTCAGGGTCTTCCTACTCCAACATCTTGGCCAGCCTCTGTAATAGTAGTTTTGCTAAGTAATACTAGCGAAATGAATATTTGTAACAGATGTTCACTGCCAATGCTACTGACTCCCTTTTTCATGTGTATGTAGGGAAAAGGAACATCGGTACACTGAGCTTCTGGAAGCAGAATTGCATATGAGAAAGTGCTAGCTAGGAATCAGGTCTGGGCTCAAAATACTGCCAGTGGCATGTTTGACTTAACTGCTTGAGCTCCATTTCCTCATTTGAAAAGTGCGATGTTAATGGCTGCCTCACTCAGATTTGAGGCTGACATGAGGTGATATCCAAAAATGCTACTTGCCCTCAACAAACATGGGTTCCCTCCACTGTCAGCTCTCCCTTCTACGCTCAGTGCCCTGAATTATGACAGGTTACACAGCTGGACCCTGTGGATGATGACTCCGACTGCTTGACCCTTGTTTCCTAACCCAACTGATTACTTTTAGAGTATGGAGGAAAGTGGAAAATGCTTCATTATTTTGCTCGGCATTTCTTCGCTCCGCTGTTGCCGGTGGGTTTTGAGAATGAAGATGTGTTTTTCATCTATGGTGTGTCAGACCTTCACTCGGACCACAAGATGATGCTCACTGTAAGTTGCTTGGATTTTTTTTCTCTCTGTGGTAGAGGGCGAATTTTAGATTTCTTTAGTTATTTGGTTCTATTCTTTTTTGGAAAAAAGAAAACAAATTAATTTGTATCAAAATGTTTCTAGTCCTTGCAGCAGAAAATGAGCTGTTCTTGGAATTGGAAAACCTATATTCAGGGAAAAATTCTGCTATTTATTCTATGACCTTAATGTCTTGGTTCAGTTTCCTCATCTGTAAAATGACACCAGCCTGCCTTCTTAAAGGATTTCTATGGGTAGTGAATACAGCCATTAGATGACTGTGCATTGTAAACTCTAGAATGCCAGTTAAGTCTAAGGTTATTTATGATCATGAGAAGCTGGAAATAGGCTAGACTTTACCAAAAGAACTCATTTAAAACAGTACGTTAAAGTGGAAATCAGTAAAATTATTCAGAATATATATGTGGAAAAATGAACTTGTATTTAAAACAATTTTAGGTAAAAGAAAGGATAGAAACTCAAAGAAGTCTTGGGTGGCTGCAGTTAGGAGGACATTGAGAACAGGTCAAGTCTGTGAATTAACTATAATGCGCCAGGTCCTGTGCCTTCCCTAAACTGCTTAATTCTCACAACAGCCTGTGGAGTTAGTGCTGTTATTATTCTCATTTTACGTTTGAAGAAACGGATACTTTGAGAAGTTAACTTCTTGGCTACATGACAAGTACTTGGTGGGGCTATGGTTAAACCCGAGTTTCACAGTCTCTTAACCAGTTCTGCTATTCTGACTTTCATCTATTATTACTCCTATTATTCTCTAAAAATAAAAGTAACTAAGAATGTTTTGTTTTTGTCTGTCTTGTTTCTCCCCAGGTGAGAGTCCACGCATGGAGTTCCCTGGAGCCCGTGTGCTCTGAGACGACGAAGCCTTTTGTGATGAAAGCAGGGGAGTCTGCTCTTCTCTATGATAAGCCAGTAGCTGAATTATTAAGAGGATGTACAAATTGTACACGACAAAGCTGTGTGGTTTCCTTTTACCTGTCAACTGACAGGGAGCTCTTGAGCCCAACCAACTATCACTTCCTGTCCTCACCAAAGGAGGCCAAGGGGCTCCACAAGGCAAATATCAGTGTAAGCACCAGTGGCCTGGGGTCTCTGTGGCTTTGTGGAACTGTCCTGCTTTTTTGCAAAATTTCTCCTTGGTATTGAGCTTACCTGGGACCCGGGGAAGATTGGCCCCTTCCCGCTGGAAGCAAAGAGCAAATCATTTTTATTATTTGTATTTGTCAAAGCTTAAGGTTCCTGCCACTCCTGCTGTCCCATCACATCTCCCTAGCCAGGCTGGTGCAGTGGAGGGCGAGGCAGCAGGAGTCATCACCACTGGCTGCTCCTCCTCTAGGTTCCAGGCTCTGTCTGTCCTGGGGGCTTTGCTGCATCAACCGTGAAGTACTATCACCTGCATATACAAGTGAGCAAACCTGTTTGGAGGGACCGAGTAACGTGTTTATAGAGTCCATAGCCAGGAAACAATGGAGCCGGTAGAAGCACTCTTAATTTTGCATTTTTAAGGAGAGTCTATTCATTTAAAAAATTTTCACTCTACTCTCTGATTTATTGCTTCCATGTTGCTCAGTCACCAAATCTCTTTATCACTGCCAAGGGAAAAAAAGAGATGATCAGGATAGGATGTGTTGTTATAAAAATTGTGTAGCTAGGGCTTCCCTGGTGGCACAGTGGTTGAGAGTCTGCCTGCCAATGCAGGGGACGCGGGTTTGTGCCCCGGTCTGGGAAGATCCCACATGCCGCGGAGCGGCTGGGCCCGTGAGCCATGGCCGCTGGGCCTGCGCGTCTGGACCGTGTGCTCCGCAACCGGAAAGGCCAAAAAAGGGAGAGGCCCGCGTACCGCAAAAAAAAAAAAAAAAAAAAAAATTGTGTAGCTAGGAAATTTGGAATCTGTCTAGTTGATTGAAAACCTTTCCTTCCCTTTCCCCCTCTCCATGTAGTGATTGAAACTTTCTAGAAAAATATTTTCATTCTCTATTTTTAATGAATTTTAAGTTTGTTTTAGATTTCATTGAAAAGACTTAAGTGAGAGGATTTTTTACATTTGCTTTGGAAATCATATCAAAACTCAGTCCTTGAAATGAAAGCATAGCTTCCTTCCCAATTAATAATGAAATATTCCCATAATGAAATCTATCTGTAACAACTGATATAGGGCAAATATGAAGGAAATGACATACATTTACATAGCTTCTTTCCAGAAAAAAAGCACAAAACTATGTAGTAGACAAATCTGCAGTCTCTAGACAGGATTTCAAAATCTTTCTTTCCTCCTCTGGGCCTCCATTACTTTGAGATAACTGGGCTGGGGGAGAGGTAGGACTTCTTCCTTTGTCCTCCCTCAGTTGGATTTCAATGAGACTTTGCCTATCCTAAAGGGATATAATAACAATAATAATAGTAATGATAGTTAACGTTATTGTAGGCTTAATGTAGGCCAGGCACTTGGATGTACTATCCTCAGGGGGATGCTGGGGACTGAGTTTTCCTCCCTGTGTCCCTGAAGCCAGAATACAAGCTTGAGCTCTGGGCTCTGCAGTCAGATATGCAGAGATGAGGTTTCCAGTCAGAAGAAGGCAACAACGAGAGTGAGCAGGTGCCAGTGTCCCTTCTGGCCTTGGCCTTGGGACAGAGTAGCTGAGGCTTCCCTGCAGGCTTGGTGGCAGCCAGGGCCAGCCATGTAAACTGTGTGCCTGCAACTGCTTTAGGGTCTTCATCAGAATAGGTGGGTGGCATGATTTGGGAATTTGACATCTAACTTCAAGCCTGTATCTCTGACCCTCTGAGAGCTACCTAATACATTTTGTTTCTTTTTTGCTTCTACCAAAGTAGGGTTTCTTGTTAATAACTTAGAACCCTGCATGCTGTCTCAGGCTAAGTTATATATAGTAAAAATTGCCCTTGGAAATTCTTTATGTCACACATAACCTATAATGTCAAACCTACGGCGTGGCATGTATGCATGTTGAAGAGTCATGTTTCATGACAGATGCACGGCTTGAATACCAGGTCCCACTCAACTGTGTTCTCACAGTGAGAGAGGTTCACAAACCCCCAGCCTCCAGGAAGCAGCTCTGCGTCACTCTCTGCCTGTGCTGAGAGGCTAATGAATGACAAGACTTAAACTGTGCTCTCCTTTGCTGATATCGTGTGGGGTTCACACATGTTAAAAGTGCTAATGTAAAGCAACTATACTCCAGTAAAAATGAATTTAAAAAAAGAAGGAAAAAAAAATTAAGAAAGTTAAGGGTCAGATTACAAAGCTGAGAATTCACATTACGAAGACTTTTTCAAATATTTCAAAGTTGGATGGACTTATATCCAAATGAATAGGAAAATAAATAATTTCATTTAGATGGTTCAGATTAAATAAAACGAATACTTGAAAAATTCTAAATAAGTACAGTGTGATAGCTACCTAAGAATGAACGTTAGTAAATCTGTCAAGAGTAATATGAAAAGCAAATTAATTTGAGCTGAATAAAAAAAAAAGTGCTAATACTGTGACTTTACTGACGATGCAATAAAAGAGAGAGAGCTCTAGTGGTAGAGCTTTTGGAGATGCCCGGCCGGCTGCTGCCTAGATTGCAGGATCTCCTCAGAAGGTGAGCCCCATGGCTGTGCCCTGCAGCCAGCTCCACACAGATTCTGAGAAAGTCATTTAAAACACCCAGCCCTGGTGCAGAAATGTGCCTCTCTTGATGAGACCCTGAGAAAAAGGTATAAAGCTGTAAAAGCTACAAAGCCTTGAGATTCGTGTGAAATATTCTCCTTAATAATTGGGGACTACATATTCCCCCCCTCCCCGCCTGGTTTGAGATTACAATTTGGTAATTTTCCACAGCCTTCAATACATTTCCACGTATTTTTTAGCATCTGACCCAGTGCATGGAATGTATGACTTTAGCAGCTGCAGAACCAAAGCTGTAGGAAATGCACTCCTTGTTAGCCACATCGATGTTCTGATAGGCGCTGTATATAGAATAGAGAGCTCTGCCCTCGTCCTTCACTTCATTTATCTTTTTCTTTCAGGCCACCATCTCTCAGCAAGGGGACACATTTGTTTTTCATCTGAAAACCTCAGCTGTTGCTCCCTTTGTTTGGTTGGATGTAGGAAGCCTCCCAGGGAGATTCAGTGACAATGGTTTTCTCATGACTGAGGAGACACGGACTGTATTCTTCTACCCTTGGAAACCCACCAACGAGAGTGAATTGGAGCGATCTTTTCATGTGACTTCACTGGCGGATATTTACTGAGGGAATCCAGGCTGTATTGGCAGGAGCTGAAGGCAACCAGAAACAAGTTGAAGAAGCCAGGAAACGCGTCTGCTTGCTGTCAGGTGTCTGCATAACCACTTGGTGAAGAGCTTGTACTAGTGCATTCTCCCAGGGAAGGCTGTGTACTCAGGTGATGTCCTCCTCCAACAAAGCTGTGCCTAGGTGCCGTCCAGTCTGCACCAGGACTGTGGTTTTAGCCCATTCCCCCACAGCTTTTGCACCACATGAACCAGTTATAACCCAACTGCCTCTCCAAGCCCCGAAAGGAGGTCTGTCCACGTGCAGCCCTTTAAGGGAATCACAGGTACGTGATTATTGCGGTATCTGTGGAATCAAATGTGGAAGGTCGTGAGGTCATGTAGGCTCTCGTGGTTAGCTCTGAGAAATACCAAATAATCGGAATGAAACTGCTTTGTTGTTATTTCCAGAGGAAATGGAGATTCAAATGTCACAACAGAAAGAGATTTCTGGGTGGTAGCCATATTGGTTGCTATTGCCAGAAAGTTTGGGGGGTTGATTGTTGTCATTCAGTTACTTTTTGGGTAGGAGTCCTTTATTCATTTGCAACGTTTTTTAAAAAATATTGTTTTAACAATAATAATTTATTTTTTCAAAGGCCATTAGAGTGATTCTTCTTTGGAGAAAAAGCTCATATTGAAATGGACATCACCATGGTCACTTTGGAAACTTTCGGGTGTCCTGACATAGGTCACCCATCGTTATGTATGGGCTTCAGATTTGGTTGAATCCACTGAGCTTTCCAATTCAAGGCTGTGGTTAGATTTGTACTTGGTGATCCTGGCAGCAAAGTGATGTTCCCTTTAACTTGAGTTTGAACCATCTTAAAAAACATTGATTAATTATAATTGCTATGAAATCATTTTATTCTGCATTATCATGTTTATAAAATCACACTGGTAATGAAGCAAAGAGGGCAAAGTGTTAGTAAGTAGCCAATTTGGGTAAAGGTGTGTAGGAGTTTTTTGTTCTGCTTTTGCGACTTTTCTGTAAGTTTGAAATTATGTTAAAATTTTAAAGTTGTATAAATTGTATTGACAACTTGGTGTTTCATTTGTGGCTTATTTCCTCATTCCATGAACACTCAGTTTTGCCTAGTACCATGCTGAGCATTAATTTCCTTTTAGCTCTGGTCAAGTTTTTAGTCTATTTGATAAACTTGAAGAGTTTGAAGAATCTAATCCAGGATATTTGAGGGGTCTTCTCTAAGAAGAATCGGGTAATTGGTTATAGAGTGGACTGGCAGTGAGAGTTTGGCTTTAGAATCAAGACTAAATAGATAATAGTTTTGGTTTTAAAGCTGAGAAACTTTTGGCCATGGTTCAGAGACTAAAAAGAAAATAAATGCAGCCAACCCAGGCCTCTCCTTCAGTATCTATGAGTTCCCTCATTTTATGTGTTATTTCAAAATATATATAACAGCCTTATGAAAGGCTGTGACTTGGGGATGTAACCCAGAAGATTCTTACCTGATAAATATTATATCACTTTCTTGTCACTGTTGCTGGGGGACAGGGAGGACACACCTCTCCATTCAGTAGAGCATTTTTCTGTGCTAGGTATCCTGTGAGGTGGGCTTTGAAGTTGATGGGCCAAATTTACTGGGTTGGCCAAACCCAAAAAGTTTGGGTTTTTCCCTAATTCTGTAACGACCCAATACATTGCAATTCTGCCCTTACTAGCTCTGTAACCTTAATCTAGTTATTTAACTTCTACGTTCAGTTTTCTTGTGGTACAGTGGGAATAATTACGCTCACCTTGTAAGTGTGGGTTTTTAAAAATAATTAATTTATTTTTGGCTGCATTTGCTCTTCGTTGCTGCACGCAGGTTTTCTCTAGTTGTGGCGAGCGGGGACTACTCTTCATTGTGGTGCGCGAGCTTCTCGTTGTGGTGGCCTCTCTTGTTGCGGAGCACAGGTTCTAGGCGCATGGGCTTCAGTAGTTGTGGCACGTGGGCTCAGTAGTTGTGGTTCGCGAGCTCTAGAGCACAGGCTCAGTAGCGCACAGGTTTTGTTGCTCCGCGGCATGTGAGATCTTCCCGGACCAGGGATTGAACCCGTGTCCCCTGCACTGGCAGGCGGATTCTTAACCACCGCACCACCAGGGAAGTCCCTGTAAGTGTGCTTTGAAGAATAAATTAAAAATGTGGTTCAAGGGCTCGGCCCGGTACTGACACTTAGTGAAGGCTCTGTAAATGGAGGCACCATTCTGGGGTGTGACCCTCTTGTCTAGAGAGGGCAGGGCTTCCACCCACACTGACCTGAGTCAGAATCCAAGTTCTGAGGCTTATTGGCTGTGTGACCTTGGGCAACCACTTGATCGTCTAGATTTTAGTTTTCTCATCTGTAAAATGGAGATAGTAATCTCTAACCTTCAACAGTAGTGGTAAAGATTAAACAAATAGGGTCTGGAACAAAATAAATGCTAGTCATACTTTTTTATTTTTTGTGGTATGCCGGCCTCTCACTGTTGTGGCCTCTCCGTTGCGGAGCACAGGCTCCGGACACGCAGGCTCAGTGGCCATGGCTCACGGGCCCAGCCGCTCCATGGCACGTGGGATCCTTCCTGGACCGGGGCACGAACCCATGTCCCCTGCATCGGCAGGTGGACTCTCAACCACTGCGCCACCAGGGAAGCCCTAGTCATACTTTTTTAGCGTCATTATCACTCAGTACATGAAGCAAGGATAAAAATGAAGCAAATAAAGGCAGATGCCTTTTTTCTTTCTTTTTTTTAAATCGAAGTATAGCTAATACAATATTGCATTAGTTTCAGCTGTACCGCAAGGTGATTCACTTATATATATGTATTTTCAGATTATTTACCACTATAGGTTATTACAGTATATTGAGTATAATTCCTTGTGCTATACAGTAAATCCTTATTGTTTATCTGTTTTACATATAGTAGTGTGTATTTGTTAATCCCATACTCCTACTTTGCCCTCCTCTCTCCTCCTCTTTGGTAACCATAAGTTTGTTTTCTCTGTCTGTGAGTCTGTTCCTGTTCCTGTTTTTTTTTTTGGTTTTGTTTTTTTAAATATTTTTTGATGTGGACCATTTTTAAAGTCTTTATTGAATTTGTTACAATAGTCTGTTTTTTTATGTTTTGGTTTTTTTTGGCCGCAAGGCATGTGGGATCTTAGCTCCCCAACCAAGGATCGAACCCGCACCCCCTGCATTGGAAGGCAAAGTCTTAACCACTGGACCACCAGGGAAGTCCTTCCTGTTTTGTATATAGATTCATTTGCATTATGTTTTTAGATTCCACATGTAGGTAATAGCATATAATATTTGTCTTTCTCTGACTTGCTTCACTAAGTGTGATATTCTCTAGGTTCATCCATGTTGCTGTAAATGGCAATATTTCATTTTTTAAAATATTTATTTATTTTTTGGCTGCATCGGGTCTTAGTTGCAGCATGTGGGATCCTTCGTTGAGGCACGTGGGCTCTTCGTTGTGGTGTGCAGGCTTCTCTCTAGTTGTGGTGTGTGGACTCGAGTGCATGGGCTCAGTAGTTGCGGCACGCGGGCTCTCTAGTTGTGGTGCATGGCCTCCAGAGCATGTGGGCTCTGTAGTTGCGGCATGTGGGTTTAGTTGCCCTGTGGCGTGTGGGATCTTAGTTTCCTGACCAGGGATTGAACCAGCGTCCCCTGCATTGCAAGACAGATTCTTAACCACTGGACCACCAGGGAAGTCCCAATATTTCATTTTTTAAGGCTGAGTAATAGTCCATTGTATATATGTATATAGCACATCTTTTTTTTAGTACTGTAGACAAGAGATCCACTTCAATTTTTTTTTACTTTTTATTTTTTTAATTAAAAATTTTTTAATTGAATTATAGTTGATTTTTAATGTTGTGTTAGTGTGTGGTATACAGCACTGTGACTCAGTATACCAGCTGGTATACAGTAGGACCTTTTTGTTTATCTATTTTATATATAGTAGTTTGTATCTGCTAGTCCCAAGCTCCTAATTTATCCCTCTCCCACCTTCTTTCCCCTTTGATAACTATAAGTTTGTTTTCTACATCTGTGAGTGTGTTTCTGTTTTGTAGATAAGTTCATTTGTATCATACTTTGGATCCCACATATAAGTGATATCATAAAATATTTGTCTTCTTCTGTCTGACTTACTTCACTTAGTATGATCATCTCTAGGCCCATCCATGTTGCTGCAAATGGCATTATTTCATTCTTTATTATGGTCGAGTAATATTCCACACACACTACACATACACACATACACACACACACACATATACATACCACATCTTCTTTATCCATTCATCTGTCAGTGAACATTTAGGTTGCTTCCATGTCTCGACTATTGTAAATAGTGCTGCTGTGAACATTGGGGTGCATGTATCTTTTCGAATTAGAGTTTTCTCCAGACATATGTCCAGGAGTCGAATTGTTGGATCATATGGTAACTCTATTTTTAGTTTTTTAAGGAACCTCCATAGTGGCTGCACCAACTTACATTCCCACCAACAGTGTAAGAGGGTTCCCTTTTCTCCACACCCTCTCCAGCATTTGTTATTTATAGACTTTTTAGTGATAGCCATTTTGACTGGTGTGAGGTGATACCTCACTGTAGTTTTGATTTGCATTTCTGTAATAATTAGTGATGTGGAGCATCCTTTCATGTGACTTTGGCCATCTGTATGTCTTTTTTGGAAAAATGTCTGTTTAGGTCTTCTCCCTGTTTTTTGATTAAGTTGTTTGTTTTTTGATATTAAGTTGCATGGACTGTTTATATACTTTGTATATTAACTTCTTATTGGTCATATTGTTTGTGAATATTTTCTCCCAGTATGTGGGTTGTTTTTTCATTTTGTTGATGGTTTCCTTTACTGTGCAAGAGCTTTTAAGTTTGACTAGGTTCAATTTGTTTATTTTTGCTTTTATTTCTTTTGCCTTGGGAGATTGAGCTAAGAAAAGATTACTATGATTTACGTCAGAGAATATTTTGTCTGTGTTCTCTTCTAGGAGTTTTATGGTGTCCTGTCTTATATTTAGGTCTTTAAACCATTGTGAGTTTATTTTTGTATATGGTGTGAGGGAGTGTTCTAGTTTAATGGATTTACATGTAGCTGTCCAGCTCTCCAATACCACTTTTTGAAGAGGTTGTCTTTTCTCCATTGACTATCATTGCTCCCTTTGACGTAGATTAGCTGGCCGTAGGTGCGTGGGTTTATTTCTGGGCTCTCTATTCTGTTCCATTGAGCTGTTTGTCTGTTTTTGTGCCGGATACATGCTGCTTTGATCACTGTGATTTCTG